ATTATTATTATTATTATTATTAATAGTTTTAATGATTCTATATCGTCAGTCCTTTTTTCTGCTCTGGTGTCAACATGTACAGTAATGGGAAATCCAGAGTCTTGCCCCTTTAGCYTTAGCCGTTAGCTTCTCCAGCCGATCACACGGTCACTTGGTTTTTGCGCGCTCCAGCTGTTCCTGAACACTTGAACTTGTTCCTGAACCTCCTTGTGATAAAATGACAACCCTGCCCCCTAGTGGATGTTTGTTTTTGCAGACGGTTGTTGTTGCTGTATTCACTCAAACACGTTCTCACCTTAAATTTGGGCACAAAGCGGCTGAACTCTTGGTGCCAGTTGTTGAGTGTAGAYGCTGGAGAGATGATCAGGAATGGACCCCAGATGTTGTCTCTCTGTGCAGGAACAAACAAATAAAAGAATTATCATCATCCTCTGAAACAGGGCGGTCTTTGTACATAACGGCACCCAATAACAGGAAACCCAGAAGGAAAATGCATCATTCTGACTGAAAAGCTTGCATTATTTTACTGATTTCTCCCCTTTTTGACCCTATTTGGAGTTAAAAGAACAAAACAACTGAAGGGCTAGAATTTGACATATAATTCAGCCAATGAAATGTTCCAGTATCCGCAAACAAACACAGCCAAGGATGCAGGTGCGCAAAGAAGCTGCCCGACAGACACMTTCACAAGTCTAAAACAACAGCAGGGACAGGTCCCATCACGTTTTGGAGAAGGGGTGGGGGGACAAAACCCTTTGTGACCCAGTCCTCCCTCTCACCTCTGCTAGGTGGGCCAGCAGGGCGATACTCTGAACGGTCTTTCCTAGTCCCATTTCGTCTGCCAAGATCCCGTTAATTCCCTGAAGGAATGAGAAGAAAACAAAAAGAGAAAAATAAAACCGTGTGGGTGTAGAAAGAAGTCATTTTGCCGAGCACCAACCAAACACTCAGGGAAAATTGCAAAACTGTTACAGAAGATGTTGACCACACACTATTATATCACACACTTACTGACCTAAAACAAGTGGCAGAATTTTAAACAAAGCTCTTACGCAAGAGCTGAGTATGTATTAAGCTACATGTAAACAGGGATGACCTTTTGCCTTCGGCGGTGGGACATTAAATGACAGAATAGGTTGTTTGTTGTAGAAAACCCAACATTTTCTAGACAGTTCTGTGCATTTTAAACASAACAGAAGAAAGGTCCTCCCTCAAAGTCAATCAGTCAGGTTTAAAAGTCCAGACGCAGACATGAGTACCTGCTCGTAGAGGTTGGCCAGCCAGTTCATGCCTTTCAGCTGATAACCCTTCAGCTTCCCGTTGAAAATGGTCGGCTGAGGAATGTCGTCTCCGGCTTGGATGGATGGGTTGGAGAGGCTGTAGCTTTCCCCGAACCCAGAGCCGAGCCCCAGGGTCGAGGAGCCCCCGGCTACGTGCAGAGAGGCACTGCGACTGTCTTTAGCCTCCTCGTCAAACATTCTCGTCTGGGAAGAAGGTGTTACAGGTTACACATGGAACTGGGATGGTTTTGTGGAGAGTGAATGCATGTCCGAGCTTACTCTCTCTTGATGAATCAGATACGCGTCTCTGGCGTTCCTCAGTGCCTGACTTTTGTAGTATTCACTGTCTACAAGCACACAAAAAAATCATTTGATCCTTTTGTTAATTGAGATTCGCATCAAAGCCAACGTTCATTTTGCAACTTATTGCCAAAACACAACAAAGTAAGACGCATTTGAAGTGTAGGACTTTAGTACCATAGTCCTCCTGTCCCATGTTGACCATTATTCCACCTCCAACGTCTATTTGTCTCTGGGCTGAATTGTCCTCAAGCTTTTTGAGAATTTCCTCCTGAGCCATGTCTCCTCCTGGACCCGCCATGCTGGCTTTGCCGCTCATGAAATGAGCYTACAGCTCCGTCTGGGTGATGAGAAAATTCAGTTTGCGCTGCTGACGCTTGGCCTGTGGGGAAGACGAAAAAAGGAAAGACAACGCATCAGTAGCGATGTTTCTAAATGTGCGACACGTCTCCACAGACGACAGCCTCACTGAGACCAACCTCTCTCATTTCCTCGTCGAGCTTCCGTTGCTCGAGAGCCTCTTTCTCCGCTCGCTTCCGGTGCTCTTTCTCAACTTTGTCGTATTTCTTCCAGTAGAGCATCATCTCCTTGGTGAGGCGTCGAGCGCGGGGCAGCGTCTCCTTGCAGTTCTTCTGAGCCTGGATGGCCGCACGCCGGACCTCCCGCATGCACTGGTGAGCCAGCTGGAGAAAAGAAACTCAWACCGCTCAGAATTCTTATTGAGCCTCGCGCACGATGATGAAATGCATATCACCTGCTGCCTTTAAAGGACACATATCGTGCTTTTGAATTCTGCTTTTTCACATTTAAAATCAATCATMTGGGGTCTATATAAAGTGAAACTACAATTCTTTGGTCTGAATTCTTCCTTATTGTAGCACCACAAGCCAATTTTCTGAGGTGTGTCTCAGATCAGCTTGTTTTGACACTGTCTCTTTAAAGTGATCCATGATTAGTTGTAACATTAGACTGTATTTGATAAACATATATTTTAACTGTAAAATAAAGACAGTAAAAATACTGTAGGCTGTTTAGTTTTTATTATTTTTAAACTAAAAGTTTAAAAATATATTACATGGACAGGGCCGTTTCATTTACACGCAAAGCATTCTGGGTAAATGATGACGTGGATAGGTCCTTGGTGCGAGGCTGCCAGAGAGCTATATCCACCCTGAAGGTTAATCTTGGACAATATCTGATGATCGACTCTTTTAAATGAAACCAGAGAGCGTTGACAGAGAGGAGAAGGTAGAAATGACTCAGCCTGTAACTGAAAATATAGATGGAGGACAACAGAGCTGCTTCATGGAAGAAGAACCTCAGATTAGCCTGTTAGCTTTAGCATTAGCCCCGATGCTATCACCATATATATGTTTTAGCTCAGCGCTACACATTCTGCTCTCGTCACTGAGGTCCTCCATCCACATGACAGAGAGGGGAACACAAAAATGACTCAGCCTGCAACTGAAAATATGGATGAAGGACCTCAGTTTAGCTTGTTAGTTTGTCGCGCTAGCATGAAGGCTAACAGGCTAAGCTGAGGTTCTTCTTCCATGAAGCAGCTCRGTTGTCCTCCATCCATATTTTCAGTTACAGACTGAGTCATTTCTACCTTCTCCTCTCTGTCAACGCTCTCTGGTTTCATTTAAAAGAGTCGATCATCAGATATTGTCCAAGACTAACCTTCAGGGTGGATATAGCTCGCTCACACCGAGGACTTATCCACGTCATCATTTACCCAGAATGCTTTGCGTGTAAATAAAATGGCTCTGTCCGTGTTAAAATATATTTTAAAAAATTTATAAAACTAAACAGCCTACAGTGTTTTTAGTCTTTATTTTACAGTTAAAATATATGTTTTTAAAATAAAGTCTAATGTTACAACTAATCGTGGATCCCTTTAAATAAAAACTAGGTGCTTCACATCCTGCCCTTAAAACWTTTTACTTACCTTTTTAGCATTTGTCAACACCAAGTTCTTAGCAGAGGTCTTCTGCTTGAAAGACTGTAACAAAAATCACCAAATAAATGAATAAATCTTATGGTCATTCGAACACCAATCATCTGCAAATAACAGAAAAGCGGACAATAAATGCATTGACGTGAATCYTTCTATTTTATCTGACCTTGGGAATTTCCTTTTTAGAGATGGTGAGCCACACTTTGCGCCGCCGTGCGTTCAGCTGCTCGACGGTGAGATGCTTTTTCTTCACCATGGGCTGCGGAGCATCGTGGGAAAACTTGGCAAAGACCCTGTTCACGTACGGGCGATCCTCGTCCAGGAACTCGCCCTCGCCTCTTTTCTTCTTCTTCTTCACTTTTCTCAGTTTCGCTTCAAAAAAATTTAATAAGAATACATTTTTATAAAATAACTGGGGGGTTTTTGTGTGTTTTTTGGTGTTCTGCTGAGATTTGGTTAGAAATGAATATTCTCTAACCTTTGAATTTCTTCTCATCTTTAATTTTCTTTTTCTTTGGGCCCAGTAGGTGACGCTGTTGCTCATAGAAAGGGTCATGAGTTGACAGGAGCCCCGTGCTGTAGTACTGATACTGATAAAGCTACAGAAACACAGGTTTGTTTGTTTTTTTTGTACAAATTGACAATGTATTTAAATACAAACGGTCTTCATACCTCTCTGTCGGAGTAAAACTTGCTCTGCTGCTGCCTGGTGAAACGATGGAGCCTAAGCATGTCGTGCAGCTCCTCCCGAGACAAACTGAAGCTCGAATCATCAGACTCTGTGTCAGAGTCGGTGGTGTCGTCGCTCAACAAGATATTCTGCAGGAGGCATAAAAGGAGGAAATTAAGGAGGTTGAGGGAGGATATGAAACACGATATTTAAACTGGCCAAATTTTATTAATATAACTAAAATATTGTTTTTCTGACAAGAAAGCGGAAAATTTGTAAATACCTTGAGCCACTTCCTGTTTTTTTTCAGCTTAGAAAAATTATAGAGGCTCGCTTTATCTGTCTTTTGTTCTGTTGAGGTGTAACAATGAGGAAGACATCAGGTTATATACAATAATAAATGCAGCTGTGATAAAGAGAATAGCATGAACTGAAGCCTTGACCAACCTTTACCCTGCAAAAGAACTCCATTTGGGGGTTTCCCGTCAGACAKCCCGTCCTCTTTCTCACACGGCTCCGTCTTCACTGTCAAAGCTGCATGTCGGGTGGAGGGGTCCAAGGAGAGCCCYGACCCCAGTGCACCATCGCTGTCATCACTGTCATCACTACAACATAAAACCACATCTTTTTATGTCATACAGCAGAATGGGAATTTTTAATCCGTTCTCCTTTCTTATGCATGCATCGTAAAACACTGTGGTTATATTCAATTTGGCGCAATTAACAACCCACAATAAAAGATGTTCACTTCTCCGCTGTTTTTCTGTACCTGGTTATGTCTCTGTTAAAGACAGCAGCAGTTTGGCGTAGAAAACTATCCAACTTCAGGGATCTTTCCAGCCGCTGTAGGTAGAGAGGTTTGGCCAGGACCAGGGCCCCCGATACCCCAACCTCCTGCCGCCCATCYTGCCCCGACGCCATGCGGCACAGACTCCTCTGCCCAAAGGGGGCAGGACCTTTTACTGAAGAGAAACACACAAAAAGAAATCGATTTGTACCAGYAGATTAGGCAGCAAAGGTAACTACGGTGATACTGAAGAAAAAGTATCTGTTATTATACTACGCAGATGACACCCAGCTCTACKTTTCCGCTAAACCCAAGTCACCTCTTCTTCCTACCTGCCTCTCTAACTGCCTTCAGGAAATCAAGTCCTGTTCTCCAAATATTTTCWTAAACTTAACAGTGAGAAAAACAAAATCTTACTTGTTGTCACCAAATTCATACTCTCCAAGATTAACTATTTTTTCCATTTTTCCGTAAGTAAATGCATTTAAGTCTTTGTAACTACCATTAATATTCCATTAATCTCAAATTTATTGTTTATTTTTTGCACCATTTTATTCTGTGAACTGATTTTATTGTTTACTGTTCTATTGTGATTTTATTATTGACCTCTTTGGTGTGTCCTTGGTTTTGAAAGGAGCCTTTAAATAAAATGCATTACTATTATTATTATTATTATTATTATTATTATTATTACTATATTAAATCAAGAGCTTAAACACCTCTCAACAATTGGACAGTGTTGTAAAGGGGACGGGATGTCCCATTTATTCCAAATTACCCTCCTCATGTCTGGACATACAGAACTTCACCAACACAGTGTCCATTCAGCAGGACACACTTACCTTTTCAGTGAGAGATGACATCACTCTTCATTCTTCAATTAATGACCTCACAAAGCTGAAGGAGCCTATGAAAGAATAAATACAATCACTTTCCTGATATGCAGAATTTGACACATCCACCCACCCAAAAAGTGCCCCATTAGCCACCACAAAAACCCTGTTGTGGGCTTTTACACGTTTACTAAGCATTGTTCTGCCTATTGATTCCATGAAGGGGTGCATGTGGTCTGCAACATTTAGTCTGAGATGTGCCACAATAAAATTCACCAAAGTAACCAGTAAGTATGACACCCAAGGGAATGTTCTGCTGTCTTGACGTTCACGTAGCCCCAAACTCAACAAACTGCCTGACGTTGCCTCCTAACTTCTATATTTCTATTGTGGAATGATTTTTGCTTTCTAGTACTTCTGGGTTTGGGTTAGTCTTCTGATGTGTTATTTTTTAGCGTTCTGCGTTTCAGAACAAGATAAAGAAAACTAGTAAGGGGTTTAGATCATTTAGTTTGGCTAACATCATGACTTTTTTATGTGCATGTGCTGCTGTACAATATTAAAATAGACAAAAGTTCTGCCTCTATTACTGTTATTCTAAAAGTACTGCCCTGTGGCTGGAGGTGATGTTGACATTTCACCTCTACTACTGTTTACATTGAGGTAATCAATGATTATATTTAGATAAGGCTGTCTATAGGGCTGCCACGATTAATCGACAACTAATCGATTATTAAAATAATCGATGACTAATTTAATAAGCGATTAATCGTTTTCTTTTTTTGTTGTTGTTCTTTACTTTTTTTTTTCTCTCCAAACTGCTTTGACACCTTCCACTGCCACATCTGCCTTTCTGTCCTTGACACACATGCACAGTGGTGGTAACTGGGGTAGGCTGTGGAC